ATAATAATAATAATAATAATAATTCCTTGTTCAGGGTAATTAATTTCTTGAGTTAGTAATCTATTATTTATGCAAGACACCATGGTTTTACAAACACCGTTGTTTTACACTGGTAATGCAACATATGTTTGACATCTATTACGTATGAGTCAATCTTTAACCGCAGCTTTTATTTGTTTTGCTGCTTCCGTTGTCAATAACTAAAGCAATGAATTCAGCAAATTATATAAAGACATGCCAGAGTTGCCTCTTAATTTCAACAGAACTTATGCATGTACTTTAAAGCCTCATTAATTCAAAGTCTAAAAGTCTTTAACAATACCAGTACAAAACCTCTTAGAAGTTAATAGAAGTTATAAACTTTCACAGATATTAGAAGTAGGGTCTACCTCATAAAGTCTGGAGCATTTAAATCTGCTACCTACTTTTTTAGTCTAGCTTATTGGGAAATTAAGAATTTACTAGCCCAAACCGTTTTGGTTTGTTTTTTTTTTAAGTGGAAAAAATAAACAACATTGCAAAACCAAAGAAATATGCTGCCTGTCATTAAATCCTACAGTTGTTACCCATCACGTATTTTAGATGATTAGTCCTTTAGATCTAACACTGCCTGTGCTCTCGCTACAGCCTGCTGCCTTGGAAGTCATCCTAGATGCAACTTCAGGGTAGAAACAACACCTGGCAAAAGGTTTGCCCTTCCCACGGCTTTGGGTTGTCCACGCTTTGGAGCGTGACTCAGATCGGATACACAGCCATGAGGCAGGCATCCCCGCGGCCCGTGAGGCACAGTCCGGGCTGTCGCACCAAGGCTACCGCAGCCCAGGGGAGGCCAGGGTGCAGCTCCCTCTTCAGAGCCGTGGCCAGCTCGGAAGTCAGCCTTCAGTCACGCTTCCATCCGGGGTGTGCCCTCCTTCATCCCTGCCTCGCATCCCACGTGTAGCTGCTTTCTGACCCACCCCTATGTACACCTAAAAGCATCCCCAGGAAAAATCTTTTCTGTGCAGCCTGACCCTGCCTTCCCCATTGAAACTTGGGGAGATTCCCCCGGCTTCACTACCAAAGCGCTACAGCTTTCTCCATTCATCAAATAATGCTGTAGTTTGTAATCTTCTATGTCACCTTGTGAAGCAGATGCTAAGCTGTCTGGAGGTCCTCGTCTGAAAAAAATAAATTAATTCCTCTTTATAGTCATTTTTCACCTTTTCATATCAGAAAAAGCTGGTATGAAACACATGCTGCTTCTTTCTATTTCCAGTGCTAAAAGCAGAGACATTGGACTTTTTCACTGTCAGGTGCCACTAAAAGGGAAACTATAATGCAAAACAGCTGGACTTCTTATTCAATATCCTGCATTATTTC